GCGGAGGTGTCGCTGTTGTCGTTCCCGTAGCGATAGGGAGTCGCGACTGCGACCGGCATTAGTCCTTATTTCTTCGCGACGACACCTGCGTACTTTCCGGCGTGTAGGTAGAACGCCGAATCGTCTTCGACAACGTTCAGGCCTAGGTACTGGGTGACAGTGTCTGACACCGTGAGTGTTAAATCACTCTTCAGCTCCCTTTCGAACTAGGTGACGACGTCGGTAGTGGAGCCGACGTAGAGCAGGTCATCGACGTAGACGATGAGTAGGATAAAATCGCCCCCCTTCTGCAGTCGGTACATCCCTTGGTCGTGCGGCAGCTGCAGGAATCCGATCCTGACGAGGCGGCCGTGAAGGTGCTGCTGCCAAAGCCGCGGGGATTTTTTTATTCTGTAGAGAGATTTTATCAGCTGGCACACTTTTGTAGGATCATCGATGAAGCCATGGGCATGCTCGAGAAAGATCTCGGCGTCCACAGGTGCGTACAGGAAAGCGTTGGCGACGTCGATCTGCCGCATTGGTAACATTTTCGGGGTCGCGACGGCGAGCAGAATGCGCAGGGAGGTATGTCGGGAGAATGGGGCGAATGTCTCCGTGTAGTCGGTTCCGTATCGCTGATCGAACCCACGTACGACCCAGCGAGCTTTGAAGCGGTCGATGGAGCCATCCGCATTAGTCTTGATTCGGTACACCCACTTCCCCGAGAGCACATTCTTCCCGTTGGTCTTTGTTGCAGGTACTAGTTTCCACGTGTTTCGGTCTTGCAGAGCCTTCACTTCGTTTTCCATTGCTTCCTTCCATTTCGCCTTGTGTTCCCCCCCGAAGTGGTACTTGGTGTCGAGGTTGTTACTATCGAGAGGGTTGTCGTCGTCGAGTGGAACGGGCACGGAGCAGTAAGGGAGCGGTCCGGCAGCTGCCGAGGCTCCAGGTACGTCTTCTTCTGCTGCGTCAGCTTCGGCAGCACGGTCGGTGAAGGACCGATGGCCCTCGAAGCCGTCGATGGGGTCTGCGGTGTTGGCGACGTTGTCCAGGTAATGCTGCAGCTTCAGTCTCTCGTAGAAAATTACATCACGTGAGGCCACGGTGTTTTTGTCCTGGATGTCGAGAAGTTTCCATGCGTGAAAATGTTTTGCGATGCCGAGGTATAGTCCCCACCGTGCTCGTTGAGAAAATCGTCCTACTCGAGCTGTGTGGGGTCTATACTGTACCATGCAGCCGAAAACTCGATGTAATTTTGCGCTGCCCAGTTTTCCTATCCACAGCAGGTGTGGTGATGCGCTGTTGGGAAGTGATGACGAGGACAGCAAGTTGTGGAGATGGACTGCATGCGTCATCGCATCAAGCCAAAGGGTGTTGGGCAGTCCCATCCCCAAGAGCAGCTTCCGCATCGTCGTCTGCAAGGTGCGGTTCATTTTCTCTGCGACCCCCTGCTGCTGGTGAGCGTAGGGCAGGGACACCAGGCGTTTGATGCCTCTTTCCGCTAAGTAGCTCCTGAACCTTTGTGACTGATACTCTAGTGCCCCGTCTGACTGGAAACTCTTGAGTTGGGAGCCCGATTCTTATTCAGCGATGGGAAGCCACGTTGTGAAAGCTTCGAACGCTTGGTCACAAGTCTTGAGGTTGAAGTGCCAGACGTATCATGTTGCTGCATCGATGAACATGATAACGTAGTTGTACTCTGCTTCACTGTCGTCCCGAGGCATGTTTAAAATATCGCTGTAAAACTTTTCCATCGGTGCGTATGCAAGTGCGCTTGGATTGTGGTGCGACGGGAAAGGTTGATGGGGAAGATCAGCTTCTGGGCACGTGAAGCATCGTGCGCGGGGTCGTCAAAGCTCCTGGCCGCTCAGTGTGAGGAGAGCGTCTTTTTATAATACTCCGGCTTGTATGGTTTAAAGAATTGTGTTGTTTGCAGGGTGTCCAATGCGTTGATGCCAGATGTCGTCGGGAGCGCAATGGCCGGGTGAACACCGGTACAGGTCGGCGTTGGAGAAGAACGCGACGACTGTAGCGGGACTGCGGCAGACTCCTCGGGTAATGGGCATGAGCTGATCTTCTTCGGTTGGTGGTCCTCGGATTGCTGGTGATGGCACACGGCTGGGTTCTGCTGCTGCTACTACAGGTGATGTCGGGGAAGGGATACTTGCTGGTACTTGTCGTTCTTGTCGAATGACTGCTAATGCTTGTGTTCTCTCTACTGCAGGGATGGTGTTGGAGTACCAGAACCCACCTGGACTAAAGTCGGGGTCAAGATCGGGCGGGTGCGTCCAGGCGGCGAACGACACGATGCCGTCGCTGTCGGCAGTACCGCGGTCGGGGACGAAGTCTAGCACGAAGACGCCCGACTTCAGGAGAGCGCGACCGATGAAAGGCCGCCCTTCCCGTGATAAAGGCAAAACTGGTTGGCGTCCGAGTCACATTCCAGGTGAATTCTTTTCCCCATTAGCTGGCTGACGCTTAATAAATTGTATCCCAGATTGTCAACGATGAGGACTTTGTTGAGTTGCAGTATAACGTTTGTCTCCATTGACTGAAGCTGAACGACTCCTTGTGTATTTGTCGTCAGGTTCTCATTGTTGGCGACGGTGATGATGACGTCACGGTTGAGGCTTCGCTCTCGTTGCACGAAGCGCCCTGAGGAACACATGTGTTGACCGCAGCAGCTGTCCAAGAACCAGGTGTTTCGCCCGGTGGGTTTGTCGTTTGCGACTGCAGCATACGTGGGGTTGACCTGAAGGCCTTGTGAGTGCGGCGGCGGCAGCTCTTCTTCGTCTGGAGAATAAATGGGTGGTGACCCGGGTGTGCAGCTATCGATTCGTACCATGCAGTTAATGATATTTGGTGTGCCTTGTGCAGGTGTAGAGGAACAACTTGGTGGGTTTGCTTGAGTGGAGGCGACTTGCGGGTCTGCTGGACAAGAAACTCGAGGGCGTGTGCAGTTGACCTTGGAGTGCCCGGATGTCTGACAGTTGTGGCAGAACGGCGGCACGATGGTGAGGCCTCTGGTGTTGTGTCGGCTTTGCTTGTCGCGTCAGTTGTGGTTGTTGTCGTTTGTTCTTTGAGTGTAGAAGACTAACAGTTGCTGCTTGCTTCTTGGTTGTCTTTCTTCAAACAAGTCCATCTCCTGATGTTCAGCATGAAGCTCGGCGCAGAGGTGCATCTCAGAAATGCGTCCGTGGGCGCGAAGAAGCGAGCGGGTGGTTCTCCATTCTGGTCCGAGCCCGGCGAGAACAAGTGTCACAAAGCTTTCTTCAGTGATTGTGCCTCCGCACCGAAGCAGGCGGTCGCGAAGTGTCTGGCAGCGACTCATATATTGCATCGCCTTTTCCCTGGTCTTCATTTGTATTGTTGTCGACTGCTGCATGAGTCTGCTTTGTGTCACACTGTCGTTTGCTTGATAGAGACATTTCAGATGATGCCAGGCAAGCTCCGCGGAGTTTCCGTAGCTCCGATACGTTCTGATGCTCGGTTGCTCTTGTGGTGACAGGTTTTGCAGGAGAACTGTGTATGCCAGTAGTGACTGATAGGTGAAGATTTCTTGCTCCTTTGCAGTGCCATTGCTTGGAAATGGCAGGGACCCGTTGAAGTATCCCAAGAGGTGCGCGGCCTCCATTAGCAGCTCGAACTCGAAGCTCCAGGTAAAGAAGTCGTGTCCGTTGAGCGGTGAAGATGTCTGCAGTTTGATCACATGTGAAAACTGCGCTTGGAGACTTAATATCTCGTTTGGTGTGTGTTGTGATGCAGCTGCTGTCGGTTGAGCACGGGGTGGCATGAACTCGAACGTCCCCGGTGAAGAGTGAAAAGGCACAAAGGAAGGCGCCTGGTTGTGCCGCCCGAATGATGAGTTGTCGAGGCTCATCGGTGCTAACCCCATATTTCCTCAATTGCTTTGTGTTGAATGCGTAGGTGTCCCTGTCTGTTGATGCTGCTCGAAGTGCGACATGAAGCTGAAGAACCTTTCCATAAGGTTCGGGTCCACGCCTGAAGAGGGTGAAGGGGTCACCATTCCTGGTACTCTTCCTGTTGCTTCTTGAGCAGCGCCGGTCTCGGTTTGTAGTCCTGATGTGTGTAGTCCAGAGGTGACGGGTTGAGTGGTTTGGGCGCTTAGTGAGCCAGTAGAATACTTTTTGCCCTTGTTGTCCATGTCTTGTAATCGATGAAGCTTTTGATATGCTGGCTGTAGATAGGATGTTGTCGATGGGAGTTTGGTCTCTGACCAGCTCTCATACCATGTTGGGCTGAGAAAAAGCCGAAGGACCTTTTCAGAGACTAAGTCCCACTTGTACAAACGCTTGAGTAGTGCAGCGGAAGTGTTGGGTAGTTGAACCCTTGCACTAGTATGTGAGAGCAAGTGATTGATTAAAAGAAACAAGCATACAGCAATACAGTATATAGAAAATAAGAAATGAAGCAGTTGAAGGAACGGTCATCGAGTCGCACAGCGACTCGATTGTCGGTTCGGTTACCACCCTTGCAGTCGCCAACGGTCAATCGCAACCTCCGGTTGCGACCCTTCGAGTCCCTTCACCCTTTCGTATTCTTTCGTCCAACCTCTTCGTGTAACCTCTATCAGAAAGAAAATGAATAAAGTAGAATGTGTGTGTACAAGGATATACGGTATAGACTAGGGTGTTGTACCCTCTAAGGCACAATCCAGTATAGTCTACAGTAACGACCTAAGTTACATTTGACAACCTCCGTTGACTCGCGTACCCGATACGACTTTCCTCGAGTGTAGTGTTACACTTCAGAAACGCTCAAGTCTTCGAGGTATTTCCAACAGTTTGTATAGACTGTATAGGTTTGTGCCTTAGAGGGTACAGCCCTTAGGTCATGTACCCTTGTACTCATGCCTTCTATTCATTCTTCAATTCTGATAATAAGTATATGCAAGGATATTAGGATATAATAAGGACATGCAAGGAGATTTGTTGAGTACTACGAAACATCAACTCATTCCATTGCTTGTGTATATCAAGTGCATGCGAATTTGTTGCTCCAGTTGTACGCAGTTTTTATTTAACCAATGTTTTGAGAAATTACAGATGAGTTCATTTTGTGTGACATGACACGAGTTGTTCACCATGAAGCATCTGATCTGTGTGCTGTTACAAATCGAGTAACACCATACCAATCCTTGGCAACTTGGACATCACAATACAATGGCTTGCCATCTGGCGATCTTTGATTGGCCAACACGTCAGCTATAATCTCTGCCTGCCCCCATCCATGAGTCTGCCACAGGAAAGCACCAACGAGCAGCACATTAAACCAGGACAGAGGTTTTCAAGTATTGAAAGCACACAAAGCAGATAGAACCTTCTCGGATGGAAAGAGGGGACGGCCCACCCACCTCGAGTGCAAGAAAGCCGAACGGCCGGAGGAAGATGGAAGCATTCTGACAGATGTGCCGCAGACATGCTGTGCCGTCTGCATTGGCATCACCACCAGATGCACTGGGTGTACCAGCAGCAGAACTGGCAGCACCAGCAACAGCACGACCTTCACCAGCATCGGCATCCTCCTCATAAGCATCTCCGTCGAGGGCCATGGAGGGCTCATGGCATCGCACCTCAGGTTGCAGCGATGGCAGCAGGTGGCATGGGATGTAGGGGGGGTTGCTCACTATGCCATGCAACTGACCATGCATGCGCATGCTCTGTAGAGGAGCGAACCAATCACCTCGTGCCACGTGTACGTGTGCCTGGGGGGAAAGGTAATGGGAAGGAAGAGAGGGGGACCTAAGGTTGAAGCGATGGCAGGCATTGGCATGGGATGTAGGGAGGATTTCTCGCTATGCCGAGCAACCGACCATGCATGCCCATGCTGTGTAGAGGTGCGAACCAATCACCATGTGGGTCGGGGGAGGGAAGAATGGGGTCGGAGGAATAGATGGCATGGGACGTTTGGGGATTGCTCACTATGCCGTGCAATCGACCATGCATGCACATGCCTGTAGGGGTGAAAACCAATCACCACATGCCACATGTACATGTGCCAGGAAGAGAGGGAGGGGAGAATTGGGAAAGAACAATAATTGCAGACACTTTGGCATCCACCAATGGGATAGGATGGGATGGTATGAGATGTGATGGTATGAGATGTGATGGTATGTGATGTGATGTGTTGTGATGTGTTGTGATGTGTTGTGATGTGATGTGATGTGATGTGATGCGATGTGACTGATGCACCAAGGCTCGTCGCTCCAGCCCATATCTCTCCACATTCACCTCAGCCACCTCACACGCCACCGCACGAGCAACAACTCTGTTGTCGTGTAACTCGCAGAGTGCATATACAGCCTACATGCTCCTCATCTGAGTTGATTTTTGAGTCGCCCAAAAGTTCACCTGTGGCGCGCAGACAACATATACAGCCCACATGCTGCTTACCTGCAGTCCGTATCTCTCCACACTCATTGCAGCCACCTCACATGCCACACACGCCACGGCACTAGCATCAACTCTGTTGTCGTGTGATCGGGTGATGTCTGTGTATCTGCGCTTACCTGCAGCCCGTATCTCTTCACATTCATCTCAGCCACCTCACACGCCACCGCACTAGCATCAACAGCCACCACCACCAACTCCTCTCCCACCCTCCCCCCTTCCTCTCCTCCCTCTCCACCTCCTCCTCCCTCCCCTCCCCTCTCCCCGCATTGCTGCTTCACAGCGCCCCTTCCCCCTCTCTCCCTCCTGTTCAGAATTTCCCGAGCCAAAGCCACAGCAATCGCCCCACTCCCCGTTCCCAGGTCTGCCCAAACCTCCCTTCCATCCCAAACTTCCCTCGCATCCAAACCCTCCCTCTCACCTAAAGCATCCCTCCTCTCCCTCCTACCCATCTCCTCAGCCCTTTCCATACCCGCTATAGCGAGTTCCACTAAGAGCTCGGTCTCCGGCCGCGGTATAAGCACGCCCGGCCTAACCGCCATCAGCAGGTCCCGCCAGTGGGCTCCCCCCACGAGGTACTGGGAGGGCACCCGCAGGGAGACACGCGCGGACCAGAGGAGGCGGAGCGAAGGGAAGGGCAGGCGGAGAGCCACGAGGGGAGAGGGTGATTGATTGCTGCTCCTGCTCCTCTTGAAGTGACTGTTTGTGCTGGTGGTGCTGCTGCTGCTGTTGCTGCTGCTGCTGCTGGTGCTGGTGCTGCAGCTGTTGTTTTTCTTTCTGTGAATGGTGCCACCCATTAGGCATATCTCTCTCCAATCCGACCTTTTCAAATACCTCATCCACTCCCCCTCATTTCCTCCCTCATTTCCCTCTCCTTCCTCCCCCCCCTCTCCCTCAACAATCATAACCTTCTTTCGTCTCTTAATCTCCAAACCCACTCCCCCCTCCACCCATCCAGCAACGGCGTCTTCTAGCAGCCAATCGAGCTCCCTCCTCAGCTCCTTCCTTGAAGGTCCGCCGTCGGATTCCTCCAGCCTGTCGCCGATCTCACCGTCGATCCGCCGCTGCTGCTCCGCCAGCCACGTCAGCAGGTCCTCCAGCGGCACGAGCGCCATTGGCTCGTGCTCGCAGAGCGGGCGGCGGTCATTGTCGTATACAGCATCCCAACGAGACGGATCATTAGATTCACGAGATGACGGATCGGATTCTGATTCTGATTCTGACAGAATCGGACCAGACGAAACGGATGCTGACAAATGCTGCTGGTGAGCAACCGCCGAGGGAAACGCGGACGAATGCGAAACGGAGGCTTTTAGCGGATGTGAGCTTAACGGAGACTCCTTGAATCGATTTAAATGACGTGGTAGAGAGGATCGGCTAAGGAAGTCACGTGGAACGGCGGGAGTTCTGATTAGAACTGGCTGCATTATAGCGCGAATACTAACACTAGTAGTAGTACCAGTTGACGAAAAGAGACTACTCGACGGAGAGACGCGACTAATTGACGGAGTTAATAGTTGCATCCCGAGCAAGAGGCGGAGAGAATGAGTGTGTCTTGTTACTTGCGAAGCCATCAACACATGGGTGCGAGTCGCTGGAGGTAGGTTGCTGCTGGCAGTGATGCGGGGGAGTTGGGATGGTGACACGTGGAGGAGCTGCTACAGCCAGAGAGGGGATGCCGTGGAGTTTCCAGAGCCCGCATTGCTGCTACAAGCGAGCGGAGCTGGTAACGTGGAAAATGCTGCTACACCTGGGGATGTTGCCACCATAGGAGGAAAATACCCTACAGCCTTCAATGGTGCAAGTCTAGGATCAAATGCTAGAAGCCAATGTTGGATTATGATGTTCGAGGCATGTGTAAACGACATTAAAGCGAGGGTCTCAAGAAGCAAAAAACCAAACCCAAAGGTTTTGGTTTCGGGGGGTCTCGAAAATTGCGAGGTGTGGTAAGGGGTGCTGGTTGGGCGCTGTAACTGTTCGCTAAGTTCGTCAGCCCAAAACCAAAACCTTTGGATTTGGTTTTCTGTTTCTTGAGAGTTTTCCTTTAAATGAAACATGTTCTCCAACAATGTGCCTCGATGGCGCAGTCGGTAGCGCGTAGGTCTCATAGCATTCCGACTCCCGGCATTGGCTGGGCGGAGCCATCCTAAGGTCGTGAGTTCGATCCTCACTCGGGGCAGTCCTTTTCTCCCGACAGTAACTTGCCAATTGCCCTTTTCGTAAATCCCATGGACGGTGTGGTATCCTCTTGTGAGCGGGCGATCATCCCCAGCTAGCAAACGACTGTCACATGTTCTACCACGTGTGCAATCGCCAGTTTGTGGAAATGACAATGAACTAAACGATCTGAATTTAAAACAGCTACTGTGAAAACAAGCCTCGATGGCGCAGTCGGTAGCGCGTAGGTCTCATAGCATTCCGACTCCCACTCCATTGGGCGGAGCCATCCTAAGGTCGTGAGTTCAATCCTCACTCGGGGCAGGCCTTTTGCCTCGGGGCAGGCCTTTTGCCTCGGGGCAGGCCTTTTGCCTCGGGGCAGGCCTTTTGCCTCGGGGCAGGCCTTTTGCCTCGGGGCAGGCCTTTTGCCTCGGGGCAGGCCTTTTGCCTCGGGGCAGGCCTTTTGTCGGGCAGGCCTTTTGCCTCGGGGCAGGCCTTTTGCCTCGGGGCAGGCCTTTTGCCTCGGGGCAGGCCTTTTGCCTCGGGGCAGGCCTTTTGCCTCGGGGCAGGCCTTTTGCCTCGGGGCAGGCCTTTTGCCTCGGGGCAGGCCTTTTGCCTCGGGGCAGGCCTTTTGCCTCGGGGCAGGCCTTTTGCCTCGGGGCAGGCCTTTTGCCTCGGGGCAGGCCTTTTGCCTCGGGGCAGGCCTTTTGCCTCGGGGCAGGCCTTTTGCCTCGGGGCAGGCCTTTTGCCTCGGGGCAGGCCTTTTGCCTCGGGGCAGGCCTTTTGCCTCGGGGCAGGCCTTTTGCCTCGGGGCAGGCCTTTTGCCTCGGGGCAGGCCTTTTGCCTCGGGGCAGGCCTTTTGCCTCGGGGCAGGCCTTTTGCCTCGGGGCAGGCCTTTTGCCTCGGGGCAGGCCTTTTGCCTCGGGGCAGGCCTTTTGCCTCGGGGCAGGCCTTTTGCCTCGGGGCAGGCCTTTTGCCTCGGGGCAGGCCTTTTGCCTCGGGGCAGGCCTTTTGCCTCGGGGCAGGCCTTTTGCCTCGGGGCAGGCCTTTTGCCTCGGGGCAGGCCTTTTGCCTCGGGGCAGGCCTTTTGCCTCGGGGCAGGCCTTTTGCCTCGGGGCAGGCCTTTTGCCTCGGGGCAGGCCTTTTGCCTCGGGGCAGGCCTTTTGCCTCGGGGCAGGCCTTTTGCCTCGGGGCAGGCCTTTTGCCTCGGGGCAGGCCTTTTGCCTCGATCACGGCAAATTACCCTTTTGTGTCTGAGTGTCTAAGCACCCATCCTTCTATCAAGCTCTTTGTAGTCACATTTATCCAACTCCCATGCCCGCATAGTCTGGTCGAGTGCCCCTGCAAGCTTGCACCTGGTTTGCCGTTACAAGAAGACTTTTGATGCGACACAGTTCGAGGATCAAAGCTGGACGAGCTCGTCATGACGATTGTTTGGTGGATTAGGTCTTGAGCGGCTTGGCGAATCAACGGCGATGGTGATTTAGGCAGTAATGGGATTCGATATAGACAACCGCTATGTTCGTATTAGTGGAGATGGGATGACACACGTGAACTAGACCCTTTAATTTGATTGTAATGAGACTCGCTATCACGATGTTCGTACTAACGGAGATGGAGGATGACATTCGCGTGGCGCCTTACGACCTGCACCGCCCGCATTTGACGGCCGTCAGCTCGGAGATTAAAGCCAAATACTTCGATAAGGTGTGTGACTCGATAACCGTAGAACTCCAATACGACCTGCTCGACCTGGCTCCCATAATAGAACCCCAAGTATTTCGACAAGGTGTGTCACTAGAGCCTACAATGCCTACATTAATACCCTTCCCGGCCTTGAAACGCTAAACCCCTTGTGCCTGACCTCCGTGACCCGTCCAGGTGTTGCGTAACGTGGGTCTCTGCGTCTCGCTGCAGGACATGCAATCGTATTAGGAAGGTTCATCTACCCTTCTGATGCAAGCCTGTCTCCCAATACCTCCTCCTTGTGCTTTTCCTCTCTGGCCCATCAGGCGCTGTGCAATGTGGCTCTCTGCGCCTCTCCGCATGACCAGCAACCCGTGCACAGGGGATTCGTCTACCCCTCTGATACATGCTCTTTTTCCCGCTGCATCTTCCCTGCACTTTCCCTGCACCTTCCCTGCACTTGTGCTTGACCTTCTTAAACCGCCCTGGTGCTGCGCAATATGGGCCTCTGTGTATCTCTGCCCGACCTACAAGCCATGGAAGGGGGGTTCACCTTCCCGTCCGACCCTAGTCCTCATTTCACGGTGAGACCTTCTTTACCATCCCTTCTTGGCCATCCCTTCTTTGCAATCCCTTCTTTGCCATCCCTTCTTTGCCATCCCTTCTTTGCCATCCCTTCTTTACCATCCCTTCTTTGCAATCCCTTCTTTGCCATCCCTTCTTTGCCATCCCTTCTTTCCCATCCCTTCTTTGCCATCCCTTCTTTGCCATCCCTTCTTTGCCATCCCTTCTTTACCATCCCTTCTTTGCCATCCCTTCTTTGCCATCCCTTCTTTGCCATCCCTTCTTTACCATCCCTTCTTTGCCATCCCTTCTTTACTATCCCATCTGCTGGCTCCCTTTCGCCAGCACTTAGTCCCTCAACCGATGGCATCCCTCAGCTACTGCTGCTGCTGCTTCTCCTCCTCTGCTCCCCCTTACCCTGCTTCCTAGTTTATTCCTCTCCCCTCCTTTCTTGCCGCACCCACATCAGGTTCGTGTTCATCCCCTGGGATCTTTCATCCCATGTTTGTCTCTCCCTTTTCAAGAGTCTCCAGACTTCTCTCCCCTGCCTATTTCTCCCCCATTAACCCCCCCCCTTTCTTGATGCATACACATCAGGTTTGCTTCTGTCTCGTGGTCTTCTCTCCCTTGTTTGGGAAGTGCTTGTGGGCAGGCTTTTGTGAAGTGTGATGCTACTAGCCTCTCTGGTATGTCCTCGTGCTCCCTATATGAATGAGTTGGCTCTAAAGAAATATCAAATACCAACTCTGTTCACGTGCTGTTCATTTTGGTGACTTTTGAGCCGACTCAAAAGCCGTCTCATGGCCTTCTCGTTCTCGTCCTTCCCAGGGAACGTCTATTTAGGCAGGCTTGTGAGATGCACGGCAACCAACCTTTTTGCTTAGTGCTCTCTTCTCTCTTGGGTCATTAGTGTTTGTTGTCCTCCAATGCTGCTGTGAGCGAGAGATGCTTGTAGGCAAGCCTGTGAGATGCAATGCAACTGGCCTGTTGGTCTCTTTGGTTTTTGGGCTGTGCACTGTGCAGCTTCCTTCCTTCAATATCTGTCAGCTGTGCTGTGGAAGTGCTCGTCGCCAGGCAGGCTTGTGAGATGCGTTTTGAGATGCCTCAAACACATCTAGTATACCATCGTTTCCTTCCCTCTGTATCGGTCGTTGTGTCGGTGAGTGCTTGTAGGCAGGCTTGTGAGATGCTGCTTGCAATATGATGCGATGTGATGCGATGAGATTCGATATGATGCGATGTGATGTGATGCGATGTGATGTGATGTTATGTGATGTGATGTGATGTGATGTGATGTGATGTGATGTGATGTGATGTGATGTGATGTGATGTGATGTGATGTGATGTGATGTGATGTGATGTGATGTGATGTGATGTGATGTGATGTGATGTGATGTGATGTGATATGATGCGATGTGATGTGATGTGATGCGATGTGATGCGATGTGATGCGACGTGATGCGACGTGATGCGACGTGATGCGACGTGATGCGACGTGATGCGACGTGATGCGACGTAATGTGACGTGATGCGATGTGAAGCGATGCGATGCGATGTGATGCGATGTGATGCGATGTGATGCAATGTGATGTAGATTCACAATCCTCTTTTCATCCATCTCACAAGCCTGAGATGCTTGAGATGCTAGATGCTTACATGCATCTCATTGGCTTCCTCTCCTATTCACTCCTCTCCCCTCTCTTCGCTCCTCGTATGATTTTCTCTCCCCGTCTCTGCTCTCCTATTCTTCTCTCCCCCTCCCCTCCCCCCCCCCTCCCAAATTTCGGTTTTTTTCTCTCTGCAGTATCTCTGGACTTTTTCTCCGACATACACATTCCCCATTACAACCTGCAAGAACCTTTAGTTTTGTAAGTGTTTGCGATTGACCTATGCTATGTATGGACTATTCAGTACTAATAATCGCAGCTCCTTTTCTCCTTAATTTCTCTTTCTTACGTTTAGGGATGTTCTTTCTAGTGATTCTACACATGCTCATGCATACATGCGGTGTAGACATATCTGCATGTGTGCGTGTGTCTATGTATGCATGTCTGGTTGTAATTATGGTGTGAGTGTGCATGGATACACGCCTCAACATGTACCCGTCTATACATGTTGAGCGCATGAATGCATTTGCCTGTGTACATGAGTGCCGTCCGTCCATTTCTTACAATGTGTGTACATCCAGGTATTTCCCTTCCAATTGTGTCCATATTTGTGTCTCCTGCATGTGTCCATGTAAATATGCGCATGTGTGCATGTGTGTGCATATGTCTATGTGAATGTGTGCACGTGTGTATGCGTATGCATGCATGTGTGCATGCATGCATGTGCACATGTGCCCAAGGAATGATGAGGATGAGAAGCTATCGGATTCCTCCAGCCTGTCACTGTTTTCACCATCTATCCGCCGCTGCTGCTTTGCTTGCCACGTCAGGAGTTCCTCCAGTAGCACGAGCGCCGTTGGTTCGTGCTCGCAGAGTGGGCGGCGGTCCTTGTCGTATACAACATCCCAATGGGATGGATAATCAGATTGACGAGGTGACGGATCGGATTCTGATTGCTTCGGATTCATATTCTGACTGTATCGGACCAGACAAAATGGATGCTGAAACGTGCTGCTGGTAAGAAACCAAAGGAAACTGGGGGAAACCGGGATGATTGTGAAATGGAGACCCTTAGGGAATGTGACCTTAACGGGGACTGCTGGAATCTATTAAAATGCTGAGGAAGTGAGGAACGGTTAAAGAAGTTCCGCGAAAGCTGCCAGGTCGGACTGCTAATCGACATCATTGGCTGAATCATAGCTGGAGTTTTGGTTGAAGGAGCTAAGTGATTACACAGTAGACTAATTGACGGAGTTATTAAGAGGCCCATCCTGAGTGGAAGGCCGAGAGACCGACTATGTCTTGCTAAATGGGAGGCCATAAACGCATGGGTGCGAGTTACTGGAGGCAGTAGGTTGTTGCCACTCATGCGGGGAAGATGAGATGGTGACACGTGGATAGGCCGATGAATCTGTACCGTTCTTGTCTCTGCTATAGCCGAATGGGCGGCAGAAGAGGGGATGGTAACATGTGGAGTTCCCAAAGCCCGCATTGTGCTACAAGCGAGTGATGCTGCTAATGCGGAAAATGCTGCTACAGCCAACGTTCAGCCTCATGAGTGGCAACAACCTACTGGCCCTCGACAGAGATGTGTATAAGGAGGATGCCGATACTGATGATGGTTGTGTTGATGCTACTGCTATTCGTGCTGCATCTGGTATAGCTGCTTCTCTGCTTTAGAATGTTTACTCATTATTAAGTGCTATCTGTCATAAACTTCCATTTGCCTCCGGCCATTCGGCTTCCGTGCACTTGAGCTGGGTTTGTGGGTCCCTCGTTCACTCAAGGAGGCTCTCTCTGCTTTACTAAGTGGTTTCTTTCATGCAAAGCCTTCTGTCTTGACCCGTTCTATGTGCTCCTCGTTGGTGCTTTCCTGTGGCAAACTCATGGATGGGGCCAAGCGGAGATTATCACCAATGTGTTGGCCAATCAAAGTTTGCCAGATGGCAAGCCATTGTATTGTGATGTCCAAGTGGTCAAGGATTGGTATGGTGTAACTCGATTCGTAACAGCACTCAGATCTGGGTGGTAAACAACCCTTAATGCTATGAAATGTGATGCAATAAATTGGCATGTCATGATTGTCAAACATGTGTATTTGTCATGTTTGTATAGACTGTATAGGGTAGCCTCTTAGAGGGTACAACACTTAGGTATATCTGTGTGTACCCTCTCTCTAACAATCATTCACTTCTTCAATTTCTGATATGGTATCACGCGTAGGTAGGATCCCCCCCACCTACCGCTTCCGCTCGCCCCCCCTAGCCCCGTCGCGACCCCCCCCCTAGCCCCGTCGCGCCCCTTCCTGGGACCCGTCGCGCCCCTCCCTGGGCCCCGTCGCGCCCCTTCCCGGGCCCCGTCGCGCCCCTCCCAGGCCCCGTCGTGCCCCTACTGGGCCCCGTAGCGCCCCTCCTGGGCCTCGTCGCGCCCCTCCCAGGCCCCGTAGCGCCCCTCCTGGGTCCCGTCGCGCCCCTCCCAGGCCCCGTAGCGCCCCTCCTGGGCCCCGTCGCGCCCCTCCCAGGCCCCGTAGCGCCCCTCCTGGGCCCCGTCGCGCCCCTCCTGGGCCCCGTAGCGCCCCTCCTGGGCCCGGTCGCGCCCCTCCCAGGCCCCGTAACGCCCCTCCTGGGCCCCGTAGCGCCCCTCCTGGGCCCCGTCGCGCCCTTTCTGGGTCCTGTAGCGCCCCTCCTGGGCCCCGTCGCGCCCCTCCCAGGCCCCGTAGCGCCCCTCCTGGGCCCCGTCGCGCCCCTTCCAGGCCCCGTAGCGCCCCTCCTGGGCCCCGTCGCGCCCCTCCTGGCCCGTCGCGCCCCACCCAGGCCCCGTAGCGCCCCTCCTGGGCCCCGTCGTGCCCCT